CATGGATCTCAGCTATGCTGAGGACGAGGGAGCAGATCTCCGAGCTGCCGGGCAGCATACACATATTCAACGGTGTTTTGTACCCGTCACCTACGGAACCGTTGCCACCTGCGCAAGGCGCGTCAAGATTCTTCAAACCATCGCCCCAAAAACTACCAGTCTGGTTCGTCGCGGGGAAACGACACCACCCAGTAGGCGTGGGGCGACCTACTGGGGAAGAACTGAGTTCTGTTGAGACTCAGGGAGATAGTGGTAGACAGGGCCCATCCCCGAAGAGCCCCCGCTCTTGAACACAGAACGTATATGCAAGCCGGGTTTGCTGGTCGTGGAGGCGACCGTTACGGGCTTCGAGAAGCCATGGAAGATCCTGATCGTTTTCAGGATGTCGGTTAATTATGCTCGACGCTTCATGATGGAGGGGAGTTAGCTGTATGCAGAGGCGCTGAAAGCGCGGTTGGGTGGCATCGTCGCCGTTCGCCTAGCGACGGGGATGCGTGTCACGGTCCCGAAGGTCCCTGTGGACCTCGGAGTCAAGTTCCTTGGATTTGGTAGCGTGAAACGCTGTCTAAACTCAGATCTGGATGCGAAGCATGACTTCATCCTAGGGATGGCATGGCTGGAACACCATGGACCATGGATTGATTGTAGGTCAAAGACCTTGGGCGCTAGTGTGCGTTTCCTGGTGGAGCTTTGGCGAGTCATAAACCCACCTCTGCTTGGAGACAAAAGTGCTATTGACGAGAGCACCTGACCAAGACGGTCAACGTGCTGGACATTGGAAAATGTCCAAGTTAATAGACACTAACGGTACCGGACAGGAGTCCCGAGCGTGGCTCGCGGGCTGATCGTGGAGTGGCACGTAACCCACTGAGCGCTGCTCAAGTTTCGGAGCAGTCGCTGCCCTCTTACACCAACTTACCTGTCGTTTCTGCCAGTGTCACACCCGAAAACTACAACCTTACGAGTTACATACGCGTCTGACAAAACCTCTTCTTTACAAAGTTTAGCAACTCATATTCAAAAGAGTACTGAAGTGAGCTGATAGATAATAGTGTAAATTGTGCGTACTGTGCAAAGATATCTGTATTGCAGTCTTGTGTATGTATAGCAAACACATAAGACACTCAAGGTGGGTTGTATTTTTGCGATGACAAGTTAACTGACGAATATATGTGCAGTTGTTCATCCTGAAATCGATGCGGCAGGAAAACTTGACTCAATGCAATAGTTTTTATAAGCTTTCAAAAAATCTTTCGAGGTAAGAGGCCTCCTAAAGACGAACATACCAAACGCCGACAAAGTGACTTCACTGGATAGGGTAAATCAACTAAACTCGCAACGTACTTGCAACCCAAGAGCATAAAATCAGCAATGACAGGGCTTCAAGCTCTTCTTTTGACTAATGTTCTGTGAGCATGATTTAATTACAAGCAGTATGTACCGTAAAAACAACTCGAGCGCTGAAGATCCATTTTTTTAGATAGATCGGAACCAAGATCGAGATTTCGCTCTTTGTCAGCTGCATTCAAATGAGCACAGCCACGAAGCCAAGATATGGTTTCGTATCTTGAAACGACCGATGCCGACGATCTTGTCCCCATTCGAATTCTTTACTTCACAAGACTCTACTTTGCCATCCTGGCATTGCTATTGCAGATGGTATACAATCGTGTAGGAATACCACTTGATGAGGAAGGCATTTGCTCACGGTGGAGCACTACTTTTAGCACGCGATGTAATTTGTTTCAGTTCCTACGACTAATCACACTGCGATAAGCTGGTTAGATACATCAGATCCAATCGTAAGTATCGATTTCATCCAATCTTTTCTCACTCATGAGCTATTCTGTTTCAGTTAAACTTATTCGTGAAGATGAGATGAATCAGCAGGTTTCAGCATACTCATCGTATCCAGTGTTCGTTTGTGCATCTGACTGATTGTACTAAGCACTGCAGGCTTTGCAACGGCACTAACATGGATTGTGGCTTGCAAATCAACATTAATAAACATCAAAAACGTTTCGGTAGATGATATCGTGCCAAGATCACGTCCAAGAATTAACATTGGCGCTTTGATTACTTGCTGCAGAATCCCTTGTCGATTTTTCGTGAGTCACCATCCAAAACTAAAGCTTGGACGTAGCGCAATGCCCATGTCAGAAACTCTTCGAACATGCGTGATTCTTTGAGATCCATTTGATGCTCTACCCATGCAGCCCTCTCTTATAAAATATAAATGTATCTTAAAAATTGTCAATTGAACGATATTAAAAGTAGTCACTTTTCAGGGTAAAGACATTGTAAACAGAAATCAATTCTATATAAAAATAGTAATTTAGCCATCAGGTAAAAAAATATTGATCTTGCTTTTAAAATGAAGCACATACACTAGCTAAGCAAAGGACGCCACGACCTCAAGATCCGTTTTTGACACGAGGTGTTTTTTTTGGTATCTTTATCACCTCGAAACCGGTTCTTCCAGTATACAGATCGGCGTATGCATTATACAGTTCCTGATCAGCGTCTGGAATCTCTGAAAAGAGACGTTTAATTTTTTTTTCAAGTTCTGTTTCTCCCAACACCTCCCCTGGTTCATCCACTGAGTTTGGTAGTCGTTTCTTCACGCCCTTTATCAACGATCTGATAGTTTTCATTAACCTCTTATCCCACGTGTTGTAATGGTTATGCAACAACTTCAGGTAGGTGTAGGGATGTAAGTTTTCAGTCAAAAAGACACCAAAACCAGCTTGTTGGTGTAGCAGGCGTGCAAACGTGATTAGTCTGTTTGGTTGCCAGGCACTCTCCAGTAGTCCTAGATCAGGAGAAATAGATGAACCTCGTTCTTCATTTGCTGAATGAGTACCGTCGCGAATCAGTGGCGCTTTCTCGTTTGATGAAGTAACCGATGCTGACAAGTGTACCCGCTGGTTATCCGTAATTCTATCACGACAAGGCCCTAAATAAGCCATCGTGACATTAGATCGGCAGTTAGTCGCCTGAAAAATGCAAGCGTTGGGGTAAGTTTTGTTGTCAAAACCGCACAGGAGCGTAGTCATCATCGCATAGTGCGTGCGTCAGTACACGGCAATGTATTGTGACGTAAAACGGTAGCGTTTTCGTGATGATCATCGACCACAGTGGCACTAGCACAAAATGACGTGACGGTCACGGAAACAAACGTGAAAGTGAGAGAAAGCTTCATGCTCAGCTTTGTTGGAGATTATGGAGTAGGAAGTATAGAAATGAAGACCTCAGGCGAAGATCATGTCAATCTGCGACAGTTTGTTGCTCAACATTAAAACTTTTAGAGATCGTGCTGAATAACCATCTGGATTAGCACCCTGTCATATCTAGATGATGCAGCCTCACTTTGGTTAGGAAAAGAAATAAGTGACCAGCTGCGCGTCAAGATACTCTTTGTACTCTGGATAGAGGCCTCTCTTCGTAACTAAGCCATAAAAATCCCATGTTTGGACTCTTTCTTCTAGATTGGCCAGATGACTAAGAGAAGTAACATATGATCTAGCAGTGTAAAAAACGTAAGTCGAGAAAATTGAGCCTCTTATCAGCTGAAAGGTCGACGATAACAGAGCACAATAGATGGTTGATTCTCCATGCTGACGAATAATGGGTCGAGAAGAGCCATGCCCGCTTCAACTTTTGCAAGGTCTCGGGCTGCGCTATGTCGCAAGTCCAAGCCAGAACAGTAAGTATTGATCCAAGAGGATCTAAAGAAGCTTTCCGCCTCTTTGATACAGCTTCTAGCGGTACCATCGACATGAGGCTGCCCGTGTTTCAAGTAAAGAAAGCTGAAATCAATCAGATGATTATTGATCTTGGTAAGGACGAGTCGAAGTCGATCAATTTAAATGAATTTATTGAACTGTTGACGGATAAAATGGTACGTACACAAAGGGTCTACTTTATGAAGCTAAACTCATTCAAAAACGAATATTTTTGTCTATTTAGAACTCACGAGATCCACGAAGAAATGAAGAAATCCTGAAGAATTTTCAACTTTTTGACGATGATAACACGGGCAAGATGTCGTTTTGAAACTTAAAGCGTGTGTGTACCAAACTAGCGACCGCGAAAGTTTGACGGATGAAGAAATGCATGAGATTATCTATGAAGCAGATCATGATGGAGATGGACTGATTAATAAGGAAGATTTTTTCGCGTTATGAAGAAGCGTAGTGGACGACCTCAGCGACAACGATTGATATTCATGAAATTCTTATGGAAGAAAACATTTTTCAGCAGAATGTAGTCGATAAAAATGTTATTTTCGCAGATGCATCCGTAAATAATAATGGCATCAGCTTATTTACAAACATCGGAGATAGTATTCGGTTGCTTGCGCAACACCATCTGGTACTTAGATCAGCTTTAAGAAACCCATATGTCAGCGATAAAGTTTCTCGTTTTACTTCTACCCTTTGCTTCAAGTTCTTGTCCCAAAACGTCAAAATTGTTGATATAATCGTTTCCGTACACTATAATGAGAACTTTCAATTCATTTAGGATCAAACATTCAGCTATATTTCAGTCCAAATTTCTTCATGTGCTATAAAGTGTAAGATGCACAGTCAAGTGAAGCTTTGGAGACGCTTTCAGGCTAGCTTAGCCGTCGTCCTTGTCCGGAAGTTCCGTTGTACACTCATACAAATTTTAAATGGATTTGTTTATAGTGATTTTAATACAGCAAATAAACCAGTTGCAA